ATATATATATATATATATACATTTAAATGCATCCGTTGGTGTTTTGGAAACTTCTTTGCAATAAGATAACATTTCCAAGAAAGTGATAAGATGGCGAATAGATGAGCTGGTTCTTCTAAAACGAACGCTCAAGCAAGTCAGTGGAATGACAGTATCTGTTGTTGTTTTGACTGCAGTTGTTTTTGTTTTGCTGGTCAGATAGAGGTGTGGGAGGTCAGAGGGGCCTGTCGGTGTTTGTTTGGCAGAGCGCTGCTGTAGATCAGGGAGGAGCCGGCCGAGCAGGAATGTAAACAGAGTGGATCTGAGCCTGCTGTGCTCTCCCCGTCCGTTTTAACTCAGCCAGGATAAAAACAACGTTGTCTACCTTTTATTTTCTGCTGTTTGTTGCTTTAAACATTTGTTCATTTTGCTTTGTGACAGAAAGAAAGAACTGAAGATGCATGTGCAAACACAACCAGAAAGGGTGCTGCGTTATACCTTTGTGTGGCTGTGCCATATCTCTGAATGGAGCAGGCCTAATTTTAGCAAGTGAACTAAATAAATAATGAACAGACCCTGAGTACGAGTGTGTGAGTTAGGACGGGGGGCGTGAGCGCCGAGCTGCAGGGAGAGGTGGGGTGTGTGCTCAAAAAAAGAAGGAGGGGTAGAGGCTATTGGGTTCATTCCCCTGTTGGACCTCCGTCTCCTCCTCTCAGTAACATCCCCCACTCCCTGAATCTTCCTGCCCACCCCCTTTTTTTCTCTCCCCTCCAATCTGCTTGTGTGTGAATAGCAGCGTGTGTGGCCAGGCTGTGAATGCTGCAACACTTGCGTTATTGCTCACATGGAAATAACACAGGGATGCTTTGGTTTGTGTTCATGGCTACACCTGGTTGCTGATTTGAGCCGGTGATGTGATTCACTCGTCCTTCCCGGCAGATCTCAGTCATTCTCGCCCAAGTTGCCTGTCTGTGCAGGCTGCTGGCTGGCCCAGCCCCTCTAGAAACAAACACACTCACATTTGGATTGTTATGGTCTGTCGGTCCCATGACCTCACTGCATTCCCGTTCCCCTCTGTCAGGTTGATTCTGTTACTGTGGTTTTTCCACCACTTCCCACCTCTGCGTCGCAGTTTTTCCTGCGACTCCGACACCTTTTTTTTTTTTTTTTTTGACGAAGACGCAGAGCTCAGGCAGCACAGGTGTCCTCAGGAGTGCCATCAAATATTCTGCCATTCACATGTGCCATTTTTTATTTTATTTTTTAAATCCCAGACACTCCTGAGTCCGATCAGCGTCTTCCTCACGCTTTATCTTTAGAATCGACATCAGCATCACATTTTTGATTTGCAGAGTGTTGAGACAGGAAACTGTAAAGTGCGTGTGTTTGCGTGCTTATGGTGGGAAGAGTTGAGGAAAGGGTGTGGGCTGTGAAGTGGAGTGGAGAGGGAGGGGGGTTACCAGAGGATTCTGAATGAAAGGTTTGTTTTAGAGAATGATGATCACATCCAGCTTTGTGAAAACAGCTCTTGTTCACAGTCAGGAAGAAGAAGAGGAGACAGCAAATGAGAGAAGAAATGCAGCCGCTCTGTGTGTGTGTGTGTGTGTGTGTTGGCCAGGCAAGACTTCCGCTCCCATTTGATAGCTCTGCATGCAAATGAAACCCCACAAACATGTACACAGGGGCAAAGGGGTCAGAACAGCTTTCCACTGCAAGTGAAGCAACACTGTCGAGGCTCGGGAGTTCACGGTGTTTTGAAGAGACGCGCAGTAGCTGTGGTCTGGGTGTGTTACGACACACTGAGAATCGTTGTGCATGTGTGTGTTTTTCCTGAAATTGTGTGACTGCTGATGCTGTTTTCATCCGTGGAGGCGGCCTCCGTTTCAGCTGTGCACGGCTAAAAGCCGCACTGTTTTTCCTCCTGCCATGAAAACACCTGCCACTTGAGTGTATACCATCCCAACACACACACGCACGCACGCACACACACACACACACACACAAAGCAGACCCCTTAGAGAGCATTTGGTCCTCACTTGGAAACAGTGGGAGTGTCAGTTTAGGCCTTCCTTTCCCATTATAGCATCAATAAACTGGTAGTTTTCAGAATTGCCCAACAAATCTAATTTGTTTTGTGCAGAAATTACATCACGGGATGTTTACCTATCTTTTTCCTTCTTCTTCTTCTTTCAGAATGAAGACTGATGGGGTCTTCCGTCCTCCTCCTCCTCTTCCGCCTTTTTTCTTGGGAAAGTAAAATTTCGCCGCAGCCAGATGACGAGGTCACCGCTGCGACAGCTGAACCCCGCGCTGAAGCCGACATCTCTTCACCTCTCTGCCGCTTCCCAGGGTCACGGGGGACACTCGTCTCCATGGAAACCCAGACACTTGACCCTTAACCCAAATCCTCCTACTCCCCCCCCGGCACTCAAACGTTCAGGTGCCGTTGCTGCTGTAGTGCTAGATGAAAACACAACTAGGACTTAAAACAGATTCTAACTTTAGATGAATCTCTGTACGTAGGCCTTCAAATATTTCTGCAGTATAATATTTTATTAATGAGTTTTGGTTTTATTTGGTTTTATTTTATACCATTTTCACACTTACAACTGGTTTTCTTTTGGCTCCAGTAGTTTACCAGATATTCTCACCAGAAAACCTGTGAACCAAACCTAGAAAGCACGTGGACGCGCGCAAAAAACAAAAACGTTCATGAATACTGACTACATGTATTTATTTATTTATCATGTACGTATGCATTTAATGAAAAGTGTGTGGAAAATGTGTATACAATGCATTTATGAACATATTTAAAAATCAAAAGAAAGGTTTTCTTTTAAAAAAAAAAAGAAAAGAAAAAAAAGAACCCTACCTCAGCACCAAGTCACACAGTTAAAAGTATATATAAAATATTTATTTTCGGAGGTGAATGTTAAAAAAATAACACAATGAAAAAAAAAAAACGATCATCAATCCAAAGCCTTACTCAAGTCATCAGCCTTCGTTTGATGGACCCTCTTGGTTTGGACCTTTAAACACAGTATCAAAGATTTACCCGATCATCTTAACTGAATGTTTCATCGGAGCCGACTCTGAGATTAACTTCCTTCTCTTGTCACACGTATGGCAAGATTATGTATTAAAAGTCCAGAGTAATATATTTATTAATGCACATGTTCTGGAGGATGCATTCATTCTTAAATGATACAGTGAGGACCTTATTGAGAATGCATTGCACCACCGATGTGTTCAACTTTCCCAAATCCACACAGACCTGTGGCCTCAGTCCACTGTTCATCCTGCAGGAAGTCTTCACTTGTCAGGAGCTCAAACAGGAAACAAAATGAATGTTATTTTACCGTCACTGGATAGATAATGTTAGTTTTTCTCACCCGATGCCTCGTCGCGACGCTCCGCCACCAAGCAATGTGACACACGCTTGCTCAAGAAGCCGCTCCGTCGTAACTCGAACCCATTGCCTCCGCCGCACCGGCTTGCATTTTTACAAACTTTCCAGATTGTAACACAAAGACACGTTGAATGTAGTTACGCGTCGTGTTCCGAGCCTGGGAACAGTAAAAACCGATACAACTGCAACAACGGCAAACTATTCAGAGGTACTAAACGGGAAACCACAAACACAACAAAACACAAGGGAGGTATCTTATTGATCTGAACTCAAAGCAATAGTTCGGATCCTTGGAAGTGAGTTCTAAGGAAAACAGCATGAACAGTTTTTTTTTTTACATATGGACAGCTCTTTAAGCAGTCGGTTTGGAAAATTAAAGTTAAATTCTGATCAGATTGATGAGCTAAAGGCTAAGAGCAAAGTGGGTTGCTGCAGTTTTGCCATTAGCTCATCGTCCTGATAAGAATTTAACTTTATTTCTCCAAATCGAGGCCTTTAAAACAGCTATCTATAACAGGTAAGATAATACTTGTTTATAGCCTTTCCACAGAGCCTCTTTAATGTATATGAACTATCCCTTTTTCAACTTTTGCCTGTATACTGTAAATAGTGTGGAGTTTCTTCCATGTGAGCAAATGCTGAGAGGTGTTAAGTTAAATACCATGATTTTAATGTACATAGTTGAGTGTTTGAATGAACTTTCTAAAACAACAAAAGCACTAATTAAGTTATCTGCTAACCAGTTAAGGTTGGGCTTGATTTTTATTAATTGTCTTGCTAAAACGATGCCACTATAAGGACGTTTTCTAATGCTGTAATTTTGGAGAAAAGAAAAAAAAAAGAAAAAGAATTGAAATAAATAATTATTACTTGACACAATTACTTCTTGGTACAACACAAATGGCATCTATGCAATATTACACCTTTGAAAATTAGTTTACAAAGTGGTACCAAATGTAGAAAACAAATGTTAATAATGTTTGATAAATCTGAAAATCAGATGTTTGCTGTTTGTATATTTTCTTTCTTTCTTTTTCCCAATTTTGAAAAATAAAAAAAAAATCTTTTTATGCTTGTTTTTTTTTTTTTCTAATGAAAACCTCAATGTTTTGAGCAGTGTTTTCTTTTTCTTTTTTTGCATTTGGATCATGTTTTAGAGTTTTTATTTGGCATTTAAAGGTTACACTTTGGGCTATGGCTTACCTTGCTGTGTCTTTTCATTGTAAATATTTCATATCATGCACATTGTGACGCTACTAAGAAAGGATAATTTAACGTAGCCTATTGCTTTAGAATGTATTGACTCTATAGATACATGCAATAAAAAATATTTAAGGAAACTGCATGCTTCTGGTTGTTTTTTTACTCCTAATCACAGCACAGCGAACAGCTTTCTCATGAAATATAAATAAAGAGAGCAGATGTCGTAACTCTGGAAAACCTTATAAGGAATGATGAATCGAGTCTTTCCTCTTAATTTGAGCATTGTTATTGTTATGGGGGCCTCCCAGGCCCCACAATGATGCAACCAGCATGTTGAAACAACCTGGGATAAATGGCATAGTGATCAAAATTAAAAAAAATAATAATACGCGCTCAAATCTTCCATGCTTGCTAAATACAGAATTGGGATATTTAGATTTTGTCTTGTTTATTTGTCAGGAGAGGTTGTTCTGGGGTTTTCTTCTTAATATAGATGAGGGGAACAGCTGGAAAGGTGTTTGCTGCAGAGATGTGCAAGTTGGCAGACACGGGTAAATAGAATGGTAACAAATATAGAATGAGGCTAAAATCTATTGAGAGCAAAATTTGGCATATTGTGTAAAACAAATCCATCGCAGGTCAGTTTGTACTCATGGCGTCCCCTTTTGTTGATTTAATCATTTAACTAAAGCCAGTTTCATCTCACTGAGCAGAAAGATTGGAAAGCGTGTACGCTGCTGAGCGTTTTTTCTGTGTGTGCATGTGGATACTTTCATTACCGTATGCCAACTTAGTCAAGCAGAAGAAGTTGTATCTGAGCTTAGACTGACACACGCACTCATGACGATGCAAATTGCAATTAAAGAGAGATCATGCAAACTCGGGGAACTTTCTTGTGTGTGAACTCCCTGAGTCTGCCTGCGTTTGCATGAGGGAGCACATGGGGTGGGGGTTGAGCTGCAAGAATGCATAGGTTCATACGGGTTCATGTGAGTAGCATAAAGTAGCCAGTTGCCCCCAGGGAGTGATCAGACTTATGGACAGGGACCTGCAGGAGCTCCACAGGAAAATGTATGCTTCCGGAGGCTGTCTGGGACACCACATTAGTGGCCCACTGTGTGTGTGTTGGTGTGCATTTTTAAAAGCGAATGGGCATTTTTGGCCATTTGAAGCCAGCAGACCCCCCCCCCCCCCCCCCACCCCAGTCAAAACAATCAACCTTTACTTCTTGTGCGGCCATCCTCACTTGACATGGAGCATATTTTCTGCATTATCTGTATATTTGAGCTCATAAACAGCATTTTAGATAAACACATGAAAAAATAACCTACACTTAATAGGAATACGCCAAACTAGAAATCCTGTTTGGTGCGAAAGAAATGTTTTTAATTATTGTAGAAATTATGACGCTATTAATGCCATTTAAACGTTTTATGGATAAATGACAATACCTGACGTCAAAATGCATCAAAGTCAACAATACAAAGATTTATAACTACAAAAATATATTTTATGGAAAAAAAAAATGTTGCTTTAAAGTCTGATTATTTGTTGTGAGAGCAGACTTTGTTTTTTTTGTAAATTCTGAATCAAGAGTTTTAAGCTTGCAACCATGTATGTAAAAAGTTTTACTGTTTTAACTTTACAGAGTTTATTTCAGTGTAGACTAAAAAAACGAATGAAGTGTGACCACATTTCCTTCTTATGCTCATGACGTTTTGTCTTCCTGCACATAAAAAAAAATGTTTTGATACGTGCACATTCATAAGGTCAGCTTTCTGATATTTGATATTCCAGTGAACACTTCTGTGGTTGGAAACATGCCTGAATGTCCTGGTGTTTTCTCTACGTCTTCTGCACAGACCACGTGAAAACAGATTAGGCTTCTGTCAAGCCTGCCTGCAGATGTGGTCTGCTGTTGCTTAAACTAAACTATACTCACATCACTTGATGTTTCTGATGAAGCAGGGAAAAAACACTTGAGCACACAGAAATATTATCACCATATTTGTATATGCACCACATGGGAGATAATAAGTGAGACAGACACACATTCTGTAAGCTGAGACTGTTTAACTGATTCCTCTCCAGCTGAGGATGCATATTTAAATGTCACTTCCTACTTGAGTTGAGTCAGTGGTCAACACTTATCCCCCCCCCCCCCCACACACACACACACACATACACACAAAGCAGTGTGCAGTTGGGATGTTGGTACACGTGTCAACTTTTCAGCATTTCATGGCCTGCCAGTAAAACTACAGCAAACAAAGGATATTTCCTCTTTAGTGATATCTGAGAATTTTCAACGATCATTTCCTCTTGTCGATGTTAACACCTGTGCCCCATCACGCAAACGGAAACACGAGCTAATCTTTTGTGTTAGTTCTCTCTTAGAGATCATTGTGTATATGTGTAGTAGAGATAAAGGTGAAAAGCACATTAAATTAATGGCAAACTGGTTGGGATAATTTAAAGCTTATGGGAAAAAAGTGACTAAAAGAGAAGAAAGTGATTGTATGCATTATGATGTTAGTTCAGCCTGATGTTCAATTCAACTTTAGAAAGTTTAAACCTTTTTGAAGCAGGGTTCTGTAAAAAGTTATGAACCTACCTACTGCTGATGTAAATAGTTTTTGAATTATCTCCGTTTGGAGAAATAAGAGTTTAATTCTAACTGGACTGACAAGCTAACGGCTAGTTTGAGTTGAAAAAGTAATCCACTTTGTCAGTCAGTCAGAATTAAACTGTTCTCCAAACTGAGGTCATTCAAAGAGAGCTATGTAAAACGGGTAAGATATTAACTGCTCACAACTTTTCAGAGAATTCCACTTTAAAATGTCTGAGCTATCATCTGAGGAAATTATAATTCTTGTCAAATGAGTCAGAATGAAGTCCCAGTTGAGTCTGATCCAGCATGTATACCGAACATAATTATAAACGCTAACAGGAGCATGTGGCATGCTGACTGCAGCCAGAGCTGTTACCCATGAATTGAATGTAATTTCTCTTCCATAAGCTGTCCCCCAAGGTGCTTCAGAGAATTTGACTGTACATCCAACCAGCCTCACAACCACAAACTACTGTATGTATAACCACACCAGGCCAGGGCCTCCACATCCAGCATCTTCACCTCCAACATCGCCTGAGACCAGCCGCCTCAGCCGATGTATGGCATTGTGTGGGAGAGTGGTTTGCAGATGTCAGTGTTGTGAGTCGAGTGGCCCATGGTGGCGGTAGGG